TACTACTCTCTCTCTCTCTCTCTCTCTCTCTCTCTCTCTCTCTCTCTCTCTCTCTCTCTCTCTCTCTCTCTCTCTTCTAAGCAAATCGCATCTATTCCGTAAACCCGTGCCGTGAAGCCTATGTGACCATCTTGCACTCTGCCCATGTCTATGTTTGTGGTGCCAATGCCGCAGCACAAAGCATCCGCCTCATAGGCTTAACCTGTGACCTCGTCATACTCGTCGATGAAACTATCTCCTCCCATCATAGAAGTGGCCTTGAAGCAGCAGGTTGGAAGATAAGGACTATCCAAACGATCCAAAATCCAAAAGAGAGTCTTTGTCGAATACTCATGCCATCAGCCTCCACTCATTGCAGTGCTGCTGAAGATGAAGTATGTGGCATTATTAGATCAGTTGATGCCTCCCCCCTTATACTCGATCCACCATGAGCACGAGTAGTTGGACGGCCAATGACTAAAAGGATAAAACCTTCATGGGAGGAAGGGCCAAAAGCTTCTACACAAAAAAAACAGTCAAAGGAAAGTCCACCCACTGGAAGGAAGTGTAAAGTTTGCAATAGGAGTGGACATGACAAGCGTAATTGTCTGGTGAGGGCACGTGCGATGTAGAGCTACTGAGGACCTCGAACCAAGTTGACTACTTTTTTGACTAATTTATGGAACATGTAAAGGACTTGACTAATTTTTTGAATTTTAGAGACATGTAAATACCCTTTTTTGTAGTTGACTTTGGTCGTTACATGAATATTCATGTAATTTTATGGGCAAGTAAAGAACCCCTTTATGGGGGCATGTAAAGGACCTTTTTATTGGGATCTAAAGAACCTATTTGGTGACTTTTTGGTAACGTATGTGTGATATTTATTTCTTTTCCATGTATGTCATTAATATGTGCAATGTGTGTTTACTTGGAGAATGAAATGCATTTATATCCCCAAAGTTCTCACTTTTTTTTATTTTTTATGTCGATCATTTGATACATTCTTACCTTTTCCCACGCCCAAGAGCTTGCAAAATAACTTTATAACCATCACGGACCTGCTTTTTATAACCATCACGGACCTGCTTTCAAGAACCAGCTCTCCCTCTCTCTCTCTCGACTCAACCAAATAAATGAGCTTATATTATTTCATTGTAGCTGATAACTAGATCTCTCTCTCTCTCTCTC